AGAGAGAGAGAAAGGGAAAATGAGAAAGCAAACTGTTAGGTTTGGTACTTGAACCGTGTTCAGCCATATGAGAGTCCAGAGTCTTAACCACCATGCCACCTGCCGACCCCAGAAATGATAGAATTTTAATGTTGAAAGGGACCTTAGATGCCAAGTCATTGAACGGAGAACCTCAAAGAGATGAAGGTCATGTCAGGCCTCTTAGCTGGTTGGTGATATGATCTAGAGCTTCTTCTGTGTTTCTCAGTTCTTTTTATTTTTCTGTACCCACTATCAGGTTGTGTTCAGAGGAATTATTTATTTATTTAAGTAAGTTTTGTCATAGTGCCCGTGTACTTGCCAGAGAGAGACAGAGAAGGTGAGAAATCACCCTCCCAGAGAAATGGCCACGCCACAGTTCCTTCGCCATTCTCCTCCTGGGATTTTGGGCTCACATGCACATGCATCTGGCATGATTTTCAAGCCACCAGGTCCGGACATGAACCTCACAGTCAGCCACATGGGAATCTAGCATCTAAATACCACCATGGTACTTGCTGGCTCCTGTAAGAAATTTTTAATTGATTAAAGTTCTAACTTTAGTGATACATGATTTAAAATTTTTTGTTTGTTTAAAAGAATTATTTTATTTAACTTTATTTGTTTTAATTTGACTAGAGAGGGACAGAGTGAGAGAGAGAGAAAGTGAGAAAGCAAGTTGCCAGGTCTGGGACTCGAACTGCAGTCGGCAATGTGGGAGTCCATTACCCTTAACCACCACACCACCGGCCAGCCCCATGATTTAAAACTTTTTTTAAAAAAACTTTAATTTTAGTGGGACCAGCAACTGGCATAATGGCTATGTCACTGGACTCCCATGTAGCCAACCATGGTTCGAGTCCTGGACCCAGTGGCTTAAACTCACACTACGGCATGTGTGTGCGTGCCCAAGATCCTGAGAGGAGCATAGAGGAGAAGGGATTGCGGCATGGCCATCCCCCCTGGGGGGTGATTTTTAGCTTTCTGTTTCTCTGTCTCATCTGTCTTTCTGGTGAGCGTGCACGCCCTATAGCAAAAACCTCTGAAAAAAAAAAAACCAACACTTTAATTTTAGGATAAGAATTACACCTTTTTTTATATCTATGTGACTTAATAATTTTAATGTCATGTTTAGCGCTTGATCTCACTACATGAAAAGCAGAGAAATGACAATAGAAAATATTCAATCATCTAGCTTGTTTCCTCATTTGTAAAATAAAGGTACAGATAAGAGAATTTAATATTGTCTCAATATTACCTTGGCATCCTTTTTCCTTTATTGTTCCCCACTTATTTGCTAGCCCACTGACTTCACCAATAAGCAAGTATTTCTCCTGTATATTCTCATAAAAGAGTCTACATAATTTTCCACAGAGGATCACATTCTATTCTCTAGCTTATTTTCCCCTGTCCTTTAAAAAATACTTTTAAAAATATACACATCAGGGGCTGACAGGTGGCGTGGTGGTTAAGGGTGCTTGACTCCCACATGGCTGACTGTGGTTTGAGTCCCGGATTTGGTGACTTGCTTTCTCACTTTCCCTCTCTCTCTCTCTTACTCTGTCCCTTTCTGGTCAAAATAAAATAAATAAATACATAAACAAAGTATAATAAAATAATTTTAAAGAAAATACATAACAGAATTTACCATTTTAAATATATTTAAGTGTATAGTTCAGTAGTAGGTATATTAACATTGTTGAGCAATAATCACCACCATTTATCTCTGGAGCTCCTTTCATCTGGCAAAACTAAAACTGTCTGTTAAGTAATAACTCCTGGGGATAGCTGGTGATGTGGTAGTTAAGGGCGCTGGACTCCCACATGGCCAACAGTGGTTCAAGTCCCGAAACTGGTGGCTTACTTTCTTGGTCTCTCTCTTTCTCTCTCTCTCACTCTGTCCCTTTCTGTTCAAATTAAAATATAAAATAAATAAATAAAGTAAAATAAAAAAAAATATATTTTTTGAGAGGTTTTTGCTATAGGGCACATGCACTCGCCAGAAAGACAGAGAGAGACAGAGAGACAGAATGTGAGAAATCACGCCCAATGGGGCATGGCCATGCCACAATCCTTTCTCCTCCATTTTCCTCTTGGGATCTTGGGCACACGTGCACGTGTGCCCGGCATGAGTTTAAGCCACCCGTTCTGGGACTTGAACCACAGTTGACTATATGAGAGTCCAGTGACATAGCTATTACGCTAACTGCTGGTCCCAATAATTTTTTCTTAAAAGAAAAAAAAAAAAACTCCTTATTTCCTCTTTCCAGGCTCTGGCAACCACGGTTATACCTTCTTCTTTTTTTTTTTTTAATCAATTTGAGTACAATCAATTAAGTAGAATCATGTGTTATTTTTCTTTTTAAGTTTTTTTAAGGAGTTATTTAATTTTATTTATCAATATCATTAGGTTTCTTTTTTCTTTTTTCTTTTTTTTTTAGTTTGCGACAAGGTGCTCCACCAGAGAGAGAGACAAAGAGAGAGAGAAAGTGAGAACGCAGGCCACCAGGTGTAAGACTTGAACCATGGTCAGCCATGTGGGAGTCCGGTGCCTTAACCACCACACCACCTGTTGGCCCCTTATTATTTTTTTTCTCATGTGCTGGAGAGACTGAGAGTGACAGAAAGCAAGGAATCACCCTCCCAAGGGGGCTGGCCACACTGCAATCCCTTCTCCATTCTCTTGTGAGTTTAGGTATGCATGCACATTCACCCGGTTTGAGTTTTAAGTCACCGGATCTGCGACTTGAACTGTGGTCAACTATGTGGGAAATCATTAATGTAACCATTGCGCCACCTGCTGGTCTCCATTATTTGTTTCTTCATGACTGTTTTTTTTCTCTTAGAATAAAATCCTTAGGGTTAATCCATATTACGTGGTTTGTCAGAATTGCCTTACTTTTTAAACTTGAATAATGTTCCATTGTATGTATAGTCCAGATTTTGTCTTCCTATTCCCATAATTAACAGTTGTGTGGCTTTTATCTTTTGGGCATTGTAAATAATGCCCCTGTCAACAGGGGTATACGAATATTTGAAGATCTTATTTTCAGTTCTTTTGGGTATATACCCAGAAGTGAGTGGATCATATGGTAATTCTAGTTAACATTTTTTAAATTTTCTTTTTTCTTTCTTTCTTTCTTTCTCTTTTCTTTCTTTCTTTCTTTCTTTCTTTCTTTCTTTCTTTCTTTCTTTCTTTCTTTCTTTCTTTCTTTCTTTCTTTCTTTCTTTCTTTCTTTTGCCACAGGGCACAAGCTCTTGCCAGAGAGAGAGACAGAAAGACAGCAAGAGAGAAACTGAGAAATCACTCCTCAAAGGGGATGACCAAATTCTTGTATGCTTGCTGGAGAGACAGAAAGATAGAAAGTGAAAAATCAACCCCTGGGGGGACAGCTGCATCTCAATCCCTTCTCCTCCATTCTCCTCTTGGGATTTTAGGCACACCTGGCATGAGTTTGAAGTTGCTGGGTCCAGGACTCGAACTGTTGTCGACTACATAGAAGTCCAGCTATGTAACCATTACGCCATCTGCTGGTGCCAGGGCCTACTTCTTTTTGGTGCCATCTATGAATAATACATTTGGGCCACTAGGTGTTATAGAAAATCATAACCTAGTCTCTTGTTTATTTATTTATTTATTTATTTTGAGAAGTTTTTGCTATAGGGTAAGTGTGCTTGCCACAGAGAGAGACGAAAAGACAGAAAGCGAGAAATCACCCCCCGGGGGATGGCCATACGACAATCCCTTCTCCTCCATTCTCCTCTTGAGATTTTGGGTATGCACGTACACACGCCTGGCGTGAGTTTAAGCCACCAGATCTGGGACTCAAACTGTGGTCGACTGCATGGGAGTCGAGCAACATAGACATTACACCATCTGCTGGTCCCATATTCTTGTTTTATTTTTCTTTTTTGAGAGAGTTTTGCTATAGGGCCCGTGTGCTTACCAGAAAGACAGAGAGACACAGAGGCAGAAAGTGAGAAATCACTCCTTAGGGGGGATGGCCATGCCACAATCCCTTCTCCATTCTCCTCTCGGGATCTTGGGCATGCACGCACATGCGCCTGGCATGAGTTTAAGCCACCTGGTCCAGGACTCAGACCGCAGTCAACTACATGGGAATCCAGTGACGTTGCCATTAGGCCAGCTGCTGGTCCCATATTCTCTTGTTTTTTAAAAAATTATATCCATTGTCCTTATTTTATTTTATTTATTTTTGTCTCTCACAGTGAGAGACAGAGAGAGCAAGAAGGAAAGCAAGAAAGCAGGCTGTCAGGTCTGGGCTCAAACCCTAGTCAGCCATGTGGGAGTTCAGCAGACATAATTACCATGCCACCTGCTGGCCCCATAACCCATTCTCTTGAAAAGAAGATACTACTTAATGGACTGTATAAGATTATGTTGAACTTTAAGCAGAACTAAGGGACCAGCAGGTTGCCTAATGGTTGCGTTGCTGGATTCCCACATGGCCAAACACAATCTGATTCCAAAGAAAGCTGCTTGAAACTTACGCCAGGTGCTTATGTGTTAGTGACCAGGGTACTGAGAGGAGAATGGAGAAGGGATTGTGACATAGCCACGCTGCTAAGGGCTGATTTCTCATTCTCTGTCTGTCTCCTGCGTACACACGTGCCCTATTGCAAAAATCTCTCTAAGCAATAAAGAAAAAAACCCAAAAACTAAACTTTGAGCAGAATCCCAGGCCTTGTGGCTTAAAGAAACATGTTGGGCTTATGTGTCTGTGTGTGTGTGTGCCCCAAATCCCTAGTGGATGGAGAAGTAAAGCAAACATGATTGCTACATGACTGTGCCCTGTGGGGGTGCTTTCTTGCTTTCCCTATCTCTATGGTGAGTATACACCCCCTCTGATAAATGTTTTAAAAAGTGTTTAATGCATATTATTATATTAAAAAATGTAAAGAGAAAAGAAAGAATGAAGTATCATATAGTTTACAAAATAATTATTTTTGCTGATCTTTAGTTCCAGAAAGCTGACTCTGATCTGGATTACATTCAGTACAGACTGGAATATGAAATCAAGACCAATCACCCTGATTCAGCAGGCGAGGTAATCTAAATAACTCTTTTTTTTAAAAAAAAGAATTATTTTATTTAACTTTATTTATTTATTTATTTTAATTTGACCAGAGAGGGGCAGAGTGAAAGAGAGAGGGAAAGTGAGAAAGCAAGCCACCAGGTCTGGAACTCAAACCATGGTCTTCCCTGTGGGAGTCCAGCGCCCTTAACCACCATACCACTTGCCGGCCCCAATAAATCTTTTTAACTGAATATTTTATTAAAAAGCTTTCCGATGGTATGTCTAATAGTAATGGATTATAGCAGTTTATAGAATTTTAAAATCTTCTGTTGAAAACTTGGCAACAGTACACTGGAGAGGTAGTGCTAAAAATGAAATTTGTGGCTACTTTTATATTTTATTTTATTTTATTTTTTTGAGAGGTTTTTGCTATAGGGCACATGCACTCGCCAGAAAGATAGAGAGAGACAGAGAGACAGAAAGTGAGAAACCCCCCCAATGGCAGATGGCCATGCTGCAGTCCCTTCTCCTTCATTCTCCTCATGGGATCTTGGGCACACACGCACACACACCCGGCTTGAGTTTCAACTACCAGATCTGGGACTTGAACCGCAGTCAACTACATGGGAGTCCAGTGACATAGCCATTATGCCAACTACTGGTGCCCCGCCCCCCCTTTTTTTTAGAGAGAGATTTTCACTATAGGGTCATGCACTCACCATAAAGTGAGAAATCATCCCCAGAGGATACCCATACCATAATCCCTTCTCCTCCAGTGTCCTCTTGGGATTTGAACATGCATGTACATGTGCCCAGTGTGAGTCTTAAGTCAGGGGTCCTAAGACTTACACTGTGGTTGACTACGTGGGAGTCCAGCCATGTAAGCATTACACCATCTGCTGGTTCCCTCTACCTTTTTTTTTTTTTTTTTTAAGTTTTTAAATTTCTGTCTTCCCTGCCATTAATTACTACTATCTATCTCCAGAACTTTTCCCATCCTCTAGCTGAAAGTCTGTAGACATTAAACAATAACTCCATATTCCCCTCTCTCTGTATCCCCTGTCAACCACAATTGTACTTTCTGTTTCTAAGAATTTGAGTATTCCGGTACCGCATACAAGTTGAGTCATATAATATTTATATATATATATATATATTAAGCCACCGGGTCCGAGACGCGAACCGCGGTCCACTACGTGGGAGTCCAGCGACATAGCCATTACGCTAACTGCTGGTTCCCAATATTTATATTTTTTGTGACTGGTTTATTCACTTAGCATATTATTTTCAAGATTCATTGGGTACGTGCACTTGCCAGAAAGACAGAGACAGACAGAGAGACAGAAAGCAAGAAATCATCCCCAGGGGGCATGGCCACGCCGCAGTCCCTTCTCCTCCACTCTCCTCTCAGGATCTTGGGCACGCACGCACACACACCTGGCCTGAGTTTAAGCCACTGATCTGGGACTCGAATCACAGTTGACTACATGGGAGTTCAGTGATATAGCCATTTTGCCAACTGCTGGTCCCAATTTATTTATTTTTTTTAAGAGAGATTTTTGCTACAGCATCCGTGCACTTGCAGAGACAGAGAGGCAGAAAGACAAAGTAAGAAATTACCCCCTGGGTGAGAAAGGGAAAGTGAGAAAGCAAGCTGCCATGTCTAGGACTTGGACTGTGTTCGGTCATGTGGGAGTCCAGCACCTTAACCATCATGCCACCTGCTGTCCCTGGTAGTAACATTTTTTTTACAAGAATTATTTTATTTTAGTTTTTTAATTTATTTTAATTTGACCAGAGATGGGTAGAGTGAGAAAGAAAGAAGAAGAGAGGAAAGCAAGAAAATAAGCCACCAGGTCCGAGACTTGAACCATGATCAGCTATGCGGGAGTCCATCGCCCTTAACCATCATGCCACCTGCTGGCCCCATGTTTTTAAAATTATTTTATTTAGCTTTATTTATTTTAATTTAACCAAAGAGAGACATAGTGAGAGAAAGAGGGAAAGCAAGAAAGCAAGCCACCAGGTCAGGGACTCGAACTGCAGTCTGCCATGTGGAAGTCCAGCACCTTTAACCACCACGCCACCTGCCAGCCCCTGGTATGAGTTTTAAGTCACTGGGTTTGGGACTCAAACCTTGGTCAACTACGTGGGAATCCAGCGACATAACCATTATGATATCTGCTGGTCTTAGGCATTCTTATTAATAAAAATTTTCTACTATAGAAAATAAAGACTAAACATTTTACTACCCATAATTTATTTCTGTCTTCACAATTTTGCTTGTTTATTATTAGAGTTTATAAATATTGCTTTTATATTAGCCCTGTTGCATACTGCTTTTCTTGTTTTCACAACTTCTTTTTCTGGAGTTGATTTTTTTTATTTTATTTTTTATTTTCTTTTTAATCTGTTACAGGTCATTTGCACTCATTAGAGCCAGAGAGAGGGAAAGTGAGAAAGCAAATCGCCAGGTCCAGGACTCAAACCATGGTTAGCCATGTGCGAGTCTAGTGTCTGAACCTCCATACCACCTGTTGACTCTCAATTTTTTTTTTTAAAGAATTATTTATTTATAAATTTCATTTGTTGTTGTTGTTATTATTATTATTATTTGAAAAAAGAGAGAGAAGGAGAAAGGGAAAGGGAGAAAGCTAGGCGCCAAGTCTGCGACTTGAACAATGGTCAGCCATGTGGGAATCCAGTGCCTTTAACCATGCCTTTAACCACTACGCCACCTGCTGGCCCTGTTTTTCTTTCTTTTTTTTTTTTTTTTAATTTCAGTTTGCATAGTTTTTTTTTTAATGTAATTACCATTATTTTAGCGCATTCACTCCCCAAAAGAGAGGGACAAAGAGATAGGGAGAGGAGAAAGCAACCCCCATGGGGCATGAACATGCCTCAATCCCTTCTCTCTCATCTATTCTTCTTTTTGGAATTTTGGGCACATATGTACATATGACTGTGTTTCTCAAACCACTGGGTTAGGGACTCAAACCATGCAGTTGGCCATATATAGGATCTAGCTATCTTAACCACTAGGCCACAGAGCTGGACCAACTTTTCTTTTTCTTTTTTTGATTTGCTATAGGGTGTGTACACTCACCAGAAAGAGAGAGAGAATCACCCCCTGAGGAGGGTTGGCTATGCCGCAATTCCTTCTTCATTCTACTCTTGAGATTTTGGGCACACACACACGTATGCACAGCAAGTTTTTTTAAGCCTCCAAGTCTGGGCATTGGACTGCATATTTAGCCATGGGGGATCCAGCCACCTTCGACCATGCCCCTGGCTGGCTTACAAGTTTTCTAATAAAATCGTAGAACTCTTAACATTGTCAGACACACTATATAACCCAAGTTTTGTTTTCTTTTTTGTGGGAGAGGTTTTTGCTATTGGGTGCATGCACTCGCCAGAAAGACGGAGAGAGACAGAAAGCGAGAAATCACACACCCCCCTCCCCCCTCCCGCCCCCGCCGGGGAGATAGCCATGCTGCAGTCTCTTCTTTTCTATTCTCCTCTCAGGATCTTGGGCATGCAAGCACATGTACCTAGTGTGAGTTTCAGCCACTGGGCCAGGACTTGAACCACAGTCAACTACATGGGAGTCCAGCGACATAGGCATTATGCCAACCGTTGGTCCCACGTTTCACTTTCTTGCATGGCAGCGTTCCTCTTGTGCTGTCCATCTTCCTGTACCAGTCTGACATCCTGCGCTGTAGGCTTCCTGTATAGCTCTTCTAGGATTCTTTTTTTTGAGAAAATTTTTTGCTATAGGGCATGTGCACTTGACAGAGAGACAGAAAGAGGCAGAGAGACAGAAAGCCAGAAATCATCCCCAGGAGAGATGGCCATGTCTTAATCCTTTCTCCATTCTCCTCTCAGGATCTTGGGCATGCTCGCACTCGTGCCTGGTGTAAGTTTTAAGTCTCCAGGTCTGGGACCCAGTCAAGGTAAACTATGTGGGAGTCCAGCGCACAACCATTACATTATCTGCTGGTCCATTTTCTAGAATTTTTAAAATTTATTTATTTTAATTTGACCAGAGAGGAACAGTGAGAAAGAGAGCGAGGGGGGGCAGAGGAGAAAGCAAGCTGCCAGGTCTAGGATTTGAACTGTGTGGGAGTCCAGCGCCCTTCTTAACCACCATGCCAGCTGCGGGCCCCTATTTTCTAGGATTTTTAAAAAGTCATTTTGATAATTCCCCTTGTTTTGCACCTGAATTGGTTCACATCATATGTTACATGCTCATTTTTTAAAGAGTTACTTATTTCATTTTGTTATTATTATTTTTAAATTTGCTACAGTGCACAAGTACTTACAAGAGACAGAGAAAGTGAGAAAGCAAGTCGTCAGGTCTGGAAATCCAACTGGTTGACCATGTGGGAGTCTAGCACCCTAACTGCCACACCACCTGCTGGCCTCCATATATTACTCTCTTTAGTAGCTTATTTCCTTGTTCTCATGAATCATAGCCTTTAGATGCTTCTGGATTAAGAATACACCAGTTGGGGCCAACAGGTGATATGGCAGTTAGGACGCTGGACTCCCACATGACTGACTGCAATTTGAGTTTCAGATCTGGTGGCTTGCAGTCTCATTTTCTCTCTCTGGTCAAATTAAAAAGTAATGATAAATAAATAAAATTAGATAAATAGTTATTTTTTAAAACCCTCCTTTTTTTGGGGGGGGCAGCAGGTGGGGCCAGCAGGTGGCATGGTGGTTGAGGGTACAGAACTCCTCCATTCTCCTTAGGATTTTTGATATGCACACACATGCACCCATTGTGGTTTTTTTGTTTGTTTGTTTTTGTTTTTGTTTTCATCCAGTGTGTTTTAAGCTGCTGGGTCTGGGACTCAAACCATGGTCAACTATGTGGGAGTCTAGCGACATAACCATTACATCATCTGCTGGTCCCAGGATCTAAGTCTTAGTACTTTTTTCTTCCCCACCTTCCATTCTCTGTCATATAGTTACATAATTAAATATTCAACAATGTTGGGAATGGAGGGTAATGATTAAGGCAGCTAGACTCCCACATGGCTGCCTATGGTACAAGTCCTGGACCTGGCAGCTTGCTTTCTTACTTTCCCTTTTTTTTTTTTTTGGGGAGGGTTTTGTTTTTGGGGGGTACTCGCCAGAAAGACAGAGAGACAGAGAGACAGAAAGCTAGAAATCACTCCCTAGGGAAGATGGCCACGCTGCAACCCCTTCTCCTCCATTCTCCTCTCAGGATCTTGGACATGCATGCACACGTGCCTGGCATGAGTTTAAGCCACTGGGTCTGGGACTTGAACTGTGGTCAACTACATGGAAGTCCAGCAACATAGCCATTACGCCAACTGCTGGTCCAAGCTTTCTAACTTTCCTTCTCTCTCTGGTCGACTTCAATAATAATAATAATAATAATAATGATAAAAAGACAATAAAATTAAATAAAATAAGTCTTTAAAAATATTCAACAGTGTTTATTTAGATAGATGATAGAATATGTTGTATATATTTTAATTCATAAAAAGAAGCTTAATTTTTCTTTTCCATGATTTAATACATATTAATTTTTCTCCTGATGCAGAAAAATCCAGTTACACTCTTAAAGGAATTGTCAGCGATAAAATCTCGGTATCAAACTTTGTGTGCACGCTTTAAACCAGTTGCTGTTGAACAGAAAGAGACTAAGAGCCGCATCTGTGCTACTTTGAATAAGACTATGACTATGATACAAGAGCTACAAAAGCAGACAGACGTGGAGGTAATGCTTTCAACTGGCAAGCTGTATTTGCATAATTTTAATTCTGAGTGTTACTTTAAAAGGTAACCACTTGGGGCCAGCAGGTGATATGGTGGTTAAAGGTACTGGACTCCCACATGACCGACCGTGGTTTGAGTCCTGGACCTGCTAGTTAGCTTTCTCACTTTCCCTCTCTATCTCTTTCTCTGTCTCTCTTTGACCAAACTGGAAAATAATAATAATAAATAAAATAATTCTTTAATTAAAAAAAGGTAAACTCTTAGTAATTTACAGTTTGAAGTTTAGCCATCAGTTTGAATTCTTTTTTTTTTTTTTTGAGAGATTTTCACTGTAGGGCGCGTGCGCTCGCCAGACAGACAGAGAGAGACATAGAGACAGAAAGCGAGAAATCACCCCCCAGGGGGGATGGTCACGCCGCAATCCCTTCTCCTCCATTCTCCTCTCGGGATCTTGGGCACGCACGCACACACGCCCGGTGTGAGTTTGAAGCCACCGGGTCCGGGACACGAACCGCGGTCGGCTACGTGGGAGTCCAGCGACATAGCCATTACGCTAACTGCTGGTTCCCAGTTTGAATTCTTTATAGAAGCAAGATTTTTTTATTTTTTTAAATTAACTAATTAATTAATTTTAATTTGACCAGAGAGGGATAGAAGTGAGAGAGAAAAAGAGAGAGAAGAAGAATGAGAAAGCAAGCTGCCAGGTCTGGGATTTGAACCTTGGTTGGCCATGTGGGAGTCCAGTGCCCTTAACCACCAAGCGCCCTGCTGTCCCCACAGTGAAGTGTTTTTTGTTTTTGTTTTGTAGTTTGAGATAGGTTGTGTGCATTCATCAGAGACAGAAAGAGAGGGACAGATAGAGAAAGTGAGAAAACACCCCCAGAGAAGATAGCCATCCTGCCATCCCTTCTCTTCCATTCTCCTCTCAGGATTTTGGGCATGCACGCACATGTGCCTGGCATGATTTTTAAGCCACTTGGTCTGGGACTTGAACTGCATAGTCAGCCATGTGGGATCCATCTGCCTTAACGTCCGCACCACCTGCTGACCCCAAGTGTGATTTTTTTTTTTTATACCTTGAAACATCGTAGTAAAATGGTGAGACTGAGAAGTCTGAAATATCTATACCAGCAACTTTTTTTTCTCCTTCAATTGGGTTGGCAGGCATGAGTAGGTTTGTACCTTATCCATTCCCTTCCTCCATTTTTCATACCCATCTCACTTAGTATGAGAATCTTTATAATTATGAGCCTAAATCACTTATGTGTAAGACTTTGGATATGTCGGAGCATACAAAAGGATATAAACTGCTGACCCAGACACTAAGATTTTAACTTGGTATCTCAGATATTTGGCAGTATTTTCATTTTCTATCAAGGAGAAAAAGAGATTTAAAAAGAAAAGATAGGCTATATCTCGATGCACTCAACAGAACTAAATTAAGTGGATGAAGGATAGCCAACACGTTTTTTTCTCAGGTGCTGGCTGGCAACGGCTGCTCAGCGTTGTAATAAGGATCTGTCTCTCCATGTAAAAGCAAATAGGGATATAGCCATGAGAAGGAGGAGCAGCAGCATACATATGTTCATTTGCCAACTATAAAGTATAATTTGCCTCTTAAGATACTTGAATTCTGGGGGCCGGCAGGTGGCATGGTGGTTGGGAACGCTGGACTCTCACATGGCTGACCATGGTTCAAGTTCCAGACCTGGCAGCTTGCTTTCTCACACTCTCTCTCTCTCTCTCCCTCGCTCACTCTGTCTCTCCCTGGTCAAATTAAAGTAAATAAATAATTAACTAATGAAATAAATCAAATAATTCTTTAAAAAAAAAAAGATACTTGAATTCTGGATTTGTTGGGGCCGGCATGTGGCATGGTAAAGTTAAATAAAGTTAAATAAAACAATTATTTTTAAAAAATGCTTTAGATATATCTGTTATGCCACAAGGAAATGAATAGTTGTGGGAAGGGCAATTAAAAATGAAATAGAGTTGGGGTTGAACCATGGTCAGCCATGTGGGAATCCAGCACCTTTAACCACCATTACCACCTATTGGCCCCCGTTTTTCATTGTATTAATGTGAACATGTTTGGCAAAAGTTTATTAGGCAAACCAGCTGAATATCAGAATCACATAGCTTCTGGGGCTATTTTATAGAGTCGGCTTTCCAATAGCCACATGTGGTTATATAAAGTAATGTAATAATGTTGAAAATCAGTTCTTCATCTACTGATTGGAGAGTGCAGATATGGAATACTTCTAGCATCACAGAAAGTTTAATTGGATAGCACTGCCCTAGAGATTCCAATTCTGTAGGTCTGGTGTGCTCCAGATTTGGCAGTCTCTCTAGAGATGACCTATTTAGTTAGGTAGATTTGTAAGCACTTGAGTGATTCTTCATGTTGTTCCTCCTATTAATTCCTGATATAACTTTGTTTCAGCCTGCCCATTTGCTGATGCTCTGCAAAGCTCCCCTATGACCTCCCTGTAGCTTCCTTTCTTCCTTTTGCTTTTGCCCTTACCTGCTTCTGGTAGATACTGTTTGGCTAGTTGTTTTCTCAGCAACTGTTCTCTTTTCCTGTCTACCAGAGCACTGACTTTTTTCTTTTCTTTTTTAAGGAAAAAGAATCCCCCAATGGGATGTGGTTATTCCATAGTCTCTCTTTCTCCATCTGGCTGGGACCCTGGACATGCAAGCACACATCCCTAGCATGTCTCTCAAGCTACCAGGGCCATGACTGTACCCATGGTGACTATGTGGGATCTGGCTCTCTTAACCATTAGGTTGGGGGCCAGCCAGTACTGACCTTTTTAAGATGTGTGTCGTCCCTTTCAGTCATGTGTCTGAGGTGAAGGTGGCTCCATCCTCAGTTTTAGAGGTGTACCTGATTGGCAAATGAAATGGATTTTCTTTTAACATTGGTTGAGGAATAGATTTATAACTCAAATGACATGTGGGGAGAAAGTATGGAAGTAGGTAACTTGAGTGCGTTTCCTTACTGCTAACAGAACCTTGAGAGAGAAGTCATTTTTTCTTTTTTGAACATGGTGTATGATAATTAGCACTATTTGAACCATTTTACTGTCAGTTGGAGGGTACAGCCACCATCAATGATTTCAGAATTGTGAGATGGAAAAAACTGAGTCCTCACATTGTTAAGTTGGTGAATAAGTCGACCCTGAAGTCTTCCCTTCTTTTCTTATTATTTATCCATCTAAAATGTTTCTGTTACTTGCAGCTGAAAGCATCTAAATTAGTCTACGAAATTTAGCTCAAGTCTCTACTTGCCTGAGAAGATTTCTAGATGGATTTTATTTATAGCTTTTTCTTGCCTTTTGTGTGTGTGTGTGTGTGTGTGTGTGTGTGTGTGTGTTTGTGGCTGTAGGGCACATGCACTGGCTTGCTGGAAAGAAAGGGAAAAAAAGAAGGAAAGTGAGAAAGTACCCCCAGGGGGATGACCACATCTCAATCCCTTCTCCATTCTGCTCTTGGGAGTTTGGGCATGCACAGACACGTGCCTGTTGTGTTTTATAAGTAACTGGGTCCAGGACTCGAACTGCATAGTTTGCCATGTGGGATCTAGCTACCTTAACCACTATGCCACCTGACTGGCCCTGTTTACACAATACTTTTAGAATATGACATCCAAATCTGACTTGTTTGGTTCTGTTAAATTAGGGATCTTAAATTGATTTATTTCTCGGGCTTGTTTCTTTAGCTTCCTAACAAGTTCAGAAGCTCAAACATCACAGTACCTTGTATATAAATAGCAACATACCTCTTTTCCCCTTCCTTTCCTTTCCTAAACTGTAGTTATATACATAATAAAAGCTAAATGGAGGGGCCAGTGGGTGGTGCAGGTGGTTAAGATGCTGGACTCTCACATTGCTGATGACAGTTTGAGTCCCAGACTTGGTGGCTTGTTTTCTCACTTTTTCCTCTCTCGTTCTCTGTCTCTCTCTGGTAAGCACACATGCCCTATAGCAAATTTTAAAAATAACAATAAAAAAAAAAGTGGTTTTTTTTTTTTTTGAGAGGTTTTTGCTATAGGGCACATGAGCTCTCCAGAAAGAGAGACAGGGAGACAGAAAGTGAGAAATCACCTCCCGGGGGATGGCCGTAGTCCCTTCTCCATTCTCCTCTCGGGATCTTGGGCATTCATGTACATGCGCCCGGTGTGAATATAAGCCACCGGGTCCGGGACTTGAACCACGGTTGACTACATGGGAGTCCAGCGACATAGCCATTACACCAACTGCTGGTTCCCCATTTAGCTTTTTTAATATACTTAATATTAAGAATTATGGTATTGGGGTAATGGCTACGTCGCTGGACTCCCATGTAGTCAACCGCGGTTTGAGTCCTTGACCGGTGGCTTAAACTCACATTGAGCACGTGGGTGTATGTGCCCAGGATCCCGTGAGGGGAATGGAGAAGGGATTGTGGTGTGGCCATCCTCCCTGGGGAGTGATTTCTTGCTTTCTGTCTCTCTTTCTCTCTCTGTCTTTCTGGCGAGCATGTGCACCCTGTAGCAAAAACCTCTATTTAAAAAAAACAAAAAAGCTAAATGGAAACATTTATTAGGTGACAAAGCAGAAATTAATTCTTTTAAAAATAATTATTTAACTTTATTATTATTATGTTCCAGTTTGATCAGATAGAGAGGGACAGTGAGAAAGCAAGCTATCAGGACTTGAACCATGGTTGGCCACGTGGGGTCCAGAGTCTTTAATCAAAACACCACCTGCTGGCCCCTAACTCACAGTCTTTAAAGTTTGTTTAAAATATTTTTATCATTTGTTTTGTAGCTGGCACCACTGACTGAAGAAGAGAAAACTGCAGCAGACTACTTAAAATCTCACATGCCAGATTTATGAAGCAATGGAATTGCAGAGTGGAACAATACTGGAGAAGAGAACAATTCGAAACTTAGGAAGATATCTTTTAACACTTGATGAGTAGAGGTGGGGGGCTGTGAAGGAGGAGGTTTGGTTTGAG